ATAGATCTACATATAAAGATCTAATAGTTGGATTATAAGGTGCATTTTGCAATGTCGATAAGGCTATCTCATAATGTGTCTGTGAGGAATAGATCTACGTGTGAAGATCTAAAAGTCTCATTGGGATTTATGGTAACATTTATCGAAATGTGTGGGTCAGTAGGATTATGTTCACAGAACCACTATTCTCGGCTCCATCACTTTTAGAATAAGTCAAACAAATAATAATCTTTAGTCAAGTCAATCCTATGATTCCAACACTTGCAACCCTTGAATCATGCTTTAATACTATAAATTAATTTTTTTACTTTTCTTATAATACAGAAATGGAACACCTTTCCATAGTCCACATTTAAAGCAATAGTTTACATCATTTTATTAAAAATTAAAATTTTTAAAAGTTCATTATAGCTTAAACATTATTTCAAAACAAAAGGAAGAAAGTAGTCAAAATGCTTTATTATCATACATTTAGTAATATTATAGTCCACCTGAACTACTTAAAAAAATAAAATAATAAAATAATTTAACAAATATGTTGAGTACGAATCCTATAAAATAACTTTAAAATATAATATAATATATATATATATATATATATATATATATATATATATTCATAAGTCAATTATTATATCAATATACATCAACATTATGTTGATACTCTCTTAATAACGAATATAGATGCTTTATTGTATAATATAATAACTATATTCTTATAATAGAAAGATATATATCAACTCCCAATAACAACTGATAAAGTGATGTTTCCTATCTACTAGAGTGAAACACATTCTTGCTGAAGAAACCGTCTATGCACTACATCGATATTCCAATAATCCTTCAAAAGAATTATTCTATCAATATTGATCTATTGATAGAGAAACATAATTCTTTGTACATATGTCATGTCAATTTCATAATAAAATAAATTCATCAAAACATCTCGAAATTATTAATAATCCTTCAAACATCAATATTGTAAAAGACTTAATAATTAGTCTTGAATTGAATTGAACCCTAATCAAATAGGTTCAATTGAGTTGAATCAGACTCAATTTAGTTATGATCTAATTGAATCAATATCTATTTTCTATTGAACCAATATAGAATTATTCTAGAATATCTAATTTGGACTCGATTTAGTTTAGTTTTGATTGAACGAGTGTGAATCGATCAAACTAATATGGGATCATCTTGAACCAATATAAACTAATCAAACTAGTAGTAATCCAACTCAATACTATACAATTGTCGGATGGAGCCCTTTTTTACCTCAGCCAATTGCTCAAGATAATATATATTAGATTTGAGACTAATTCAACCCAAAACTTAAAATTATTATATTATAGGTTATATCCATTATATGTAACTTAAACATTCTAATCCCCAGTGATACATCACCATTCTCTCAATTCATCTTGTTCTATCTCGCACACAAATATTCGCAATTCATTTCAGTAATAATAACAATCCAAAAATTAATTCCCCTCACTAACTCTCTATCCCAAAACAATGAAGCATATATCTTTAGTGAGAGAGACAACGATATCAACTGCACCTATTTCCAGTGGCACCACCGGACCTAACTCCATTCAACTGTTCATTTAAGTGCCCCTTTGTCAAGTAACAATCGAGTAGTAGAGGAAGTTGGAGACGCTCTACCAGTTCTTATCTTCATGGTGACCAAAACAGCAGGTCGGCGAGAGCCTCCATGACTTCCTTTCCTCTATGTTGTCACATCTGCTGCTGTTTTAGATTGCGAGGATCCAAGTGGGGTGCCCTTCGACATTAACTTTTGCTAATGTCGGAGTGCCAGACTTTGTTCTCTCTTACTTGCAGCAGACGATTTAAGGCACAATAAATCAATCGAGACTACCTTTGAGTTTGCTGCCACCATTCCACATGAGAAACTTTTGGATAGGTCCTTTATGTTCCCGAGTGGGCATATTTCGGTCATTACTTAGAAACCTAGAAGGGAAGAACAAAGGAAGAAGCAAAATAAAGAAAAAAATCTTTCAGTAATTTGATGGGATAATTATCCATCTTTCTTTGGAAAAAAAAAATAGAAAGATCAAAAAGTATGAAAAATTTTCTTTTCTATATCAAAATTTTTAGTTTGAATTGACGTTCAATCCTGTGTATATTAGTCTTTATGACTAGTTTATTTAAAAATTCTTAGCTCGATATAAGAACCAAAATTTATAAAAATAATAAGTATATACAAAATAAATATTGATTATAATTACACTTATCCTTACCTACGAGGGAAGATCATTAAGTCAATCATCGATAAAGATGTTGAAAATATTCATATCATAAAAAAAAAAAAGTATAAAATAATCTTGTGTTGCGCAAACTTTAATAGAGTCAAATTATACATATTAAATGAGCCCATCACTATCATATTAAATCAATATATATGTTAATATTGATTAATTTAACTTACTCTTCATTCCACTTAAGAATTCTCAACAAGAAACTTAAGACACTTTTCTTATTTGGATCTATAGGAAACAAGAAAAGGAATAGATATCAAACAAGAGAATTATCTTGTAACATCCCATTAGTCTCACATCGAAAGTGGGCAATACGTATGATTGACTTATATAGGTTTGATGAGTGTACTATGTTAACTCTCGCTTAAGCATTTTGGTCCGTGGTTGAAGGATCAAAATAAAATTATTGACCAGTTAACTCATCAGACTCAGGCTGTGACATTTGGTATCATGCCCCCTCATCAGACTCAAGATTTGCTCACTTCTCTTCGTCCAAACAAGTCATTTGTTTCACAATATAAGAATCCACGGTGATCGAAGTAAGCTTTTCATTCTTCTTTTGTGTTTGTGACTGTGTTAGAGGACAACCACTAGCCTCATCCTACCTATTCTTAAAGGGATAGATGTGAATGATTTGATGGCATCATGATGGAGAAAGCAGTTGGATGCTCACAACTTTTGGTCCTTCTCGATTACCAGCCAACCAACCAACCAACCATTTGGATGGTTGAACACTCAACAATTTATTTTTATTGCATATTATGATGATATTTACATAAATGGATATCTTTGATGTTTTACAAGTATAAGTTCCTCGACGACTGGTGATGGAAAGATTGAGGCAAGAAAGCGACCCACATGGGAAAGACATTTAATGACATGGATATATATATATATATATATATTCTTAATCCTCTCAACATGAAAGATAGTTACCATAAGTCACTCTTTCAACCAAAGATTGCTTGATCCTAAGACAAACTCATTTTATATAATAAGTCGTGTCCGTGGGTCATTATTTGGGCCCAAACTCCACCCTTAATAAGTGTCAAGCGTCATCATATCATAAGTCATTATTACGTCAATCAACTTAAGTTATATTACACTCCAATTTGTTCTATCTTCTTAAATTATTTTTTATTTATTAAAAAATATTTTTAAAATATTATAAAAAAATAATTAACCTCAAATCATTTTTTTCATGAATCAATTAATTTAAATTCATGATCTCAAATTTAAAACTAATTAAATAATAAAAAGTTATAAATAATTCCTTAACACATAAATATATATAATTAAATAATTATTTAATATTATAATTTAATGATCATTATTTATTAATCATAAAAATAAAATTAAAATTAAAATATTATTATGCATCATACAAATTATAATAATTTTAATTTTAAAATATATATCAAAGTTGATAATATTAAAAAAAAATAGAGGATCCTACCTCTCATCAAAGATCCTATCATAAATTCTCACATTACGAAGCTCTCCTCGGGATCCTATCATCGTGAGGAATGAGAGAGGAAGATCCCTCCTCCAAAAGTAAATAATAATTTATTTTTTTAATTTTAATTTAGTTTTTTACACATAAAGATAAAATTATAATATCTAGTTCTTATGATTCACACACAAAAATAAAATTAAAAACCATATAACTCATTAGAAAATAAATCAACTAATAACTTAATTGATTAACTAAGATAATCAATTTTAATCATTTTATTAACCATACTATTAAAAAAAGTTAATAATTCAAATATAGTAACATATTATTAGAATAATTTAATTTATATTAAGGAAGAAAAATCTTCGGAAATTACAAATATAGCTCATATTCTTTTAACTATTGTGATCTTCCTATATGTACCTCAATGTTAATATCCATAGCGATAGTTAAACTTCAAAAAGATACTAAAAATATAAAATATTTCGAGTTATAGATCGGTACCCTTTACAATTATGATTTGACATTTTTTTATTTTTGAGTCTAAACTAACAGTGATTAACTAAAAGGATTTATCTATAATTTGAAGGGAATTATCTAATATTACTAAATTATTTTTGAGTGGACTTTTTACAATGATGGATAGTTTTAATTGCAAATGACTTATAGTCATCAAATTTGACTTTGTGAAATTATTTGAACGTGTCCTGTGTTTTTCAGAGAAGAGAAGTCATTAAGTATTTATAACTTAGATGAGGCAAAAAAAAAAATTTTAGAGGCAAAAAAATGTCTATGTCATATATTCCTCGCGAGTATATCTCATTTTCTATAAACAATTATATCAAAGGTTTATTTATCAAAACTCTTATAATGATCAAATTAATATGCGTTCACAAGCATCTAAGGCTCATAAGTGTTTATTAGTTTACTTTAAATAAAAACATACTTATTCTTATAACTATTCTTATAACTATCGATTTAATGAGAGAATATACTCCTGTATTTTATTGCTCTTTGATATTTTGGATAGTTGATGTAGCATGTCCAATAGATATTGATTGGATTTCATGTATCGAATTTGTATCTATCATTTATCCCGAAAGGAATATGTTATATAAATAAACTATCGCAGTGCTCTCCGCTACATTACAAGTGGACGATTTGAATTAGTCTATGAGAACTACTAAATTAATATTCCATCACTAATTTGAGTTTAATATGACATATTAAATCAATGATAGATCATAACATATTAAGTCAGCAGATCAAGAAGACCACAATGTCCAATATAATAGATAAGCAAATCAAAATGTCATGTATAATCCTTAACAGGACACACTTCATGGAGTAGGAACAAGAGGAAGACTATGCCTCGATCTATCTTGCAGTTGCGAGACATACATACGCCGAAAGAGAAAGTTATCTTCAAGGTTTCTTACCAGACACAGGCATCTCTATATCTTGCTCAACCTTGTCGGAATCGCCGTCATCTTCTTCTCCATTGTCTATGAGCTTGCTAGTCTCAGAGCTCTGCTTGGATGGGAAGGAAGCGGATCCTGTGACGGATTGCTGATAAACAACACCCCCTACGAGAGTGGAGAGCAGGCAAGCCAAGCCCAGAGGGCTTGCATGCTTGTCCCAGATCATCACGTTGACAGCAACGGTGAGGAACTTGTTGGCCACGCCGGTCACCGTAAATGCCGTCGCCGAGATGGCTCTCCGCGTCGCAAACCCGAAGAAGCTGATGAGCAACCCAAAGACGCAAGACAAAGCTACCGCGACAATGGCATCCAGCTGCAGCCACCCGCTGCCGGAGCTCATCTTTACGGCGGTGAAAACATCGGCGTACTCCCCGGTGACTATCCAGAAGACAGGGGACATCAACAAGGATATGAAGTTATTGTAGAAGACGAAGCCCCAGGTGTTGAGGCCGAGGTGGGTCACCATGTGCTTTATGTAGACCATCTCCGTCGTGATGGTGACCAAATAGGCGACCGCCCATGAGTAGGCGGTGAGGGTGAAGGCGGAGTCGGTGAGGACGTACCCCACGGCGCCGCCCAGTATGATGACGAGGGAGAAGAAGGTGGACTTGGAAGGGCAAGGCTGCTTCCTGAAGACGGTGTCGGCGATGGCTACGAGCAGCGGAGTCAGGGATCGGAAGACGATGAAGGTGTCGACGTTGGCATGGCGAAGCAGGTTGGTGTTGGTGAAGATCGCGAGGTAGAACACGGCGGCGGCGGGCAAGAACTTCTTGGCGTTGTCACGGGTGAAAGGATCGTGGTACAAGACGTCCAGTTTCCCGAGAACCCACACGACGAGGGCAGAAGTGAAGTACTGGAATGCGGTCAACAGGCCGGGGTAGCTGAACTTGGTGACGGCGTACTTGTTGATGATGGCAAGCAGGCTGGAGGAGAGGGAGTATCCCACGACCAGGCCGGCCGTCGTGAAGTACTGCTTCGAAGCATCAGCTGCAACCGCGTCCATGAGCTTCTCGATCTCGACCGATCCAGCCTCCCTCTACAAGCCTAAGAAGAGTCGACGGAGGAAACCCATCACAATTCAACAAAGCCCTTCGAGATGGCGATTAAGTATATTAGGAAGAGAAGAATGGTGCGCGGTTTCTCGGATCTCACGTCTCCTTCACGCAGAGCCTTAATTAGTCAGCAACGGCACGATCGATCGATGTACATCGATACCAATGACCACGTTCAATGGTGTGCATTATTTAACATGAAGAAGGAGGTGGGAAGACGAATTCCCGCTGCTGCCAAACTGAAGGAACCGTGCGATACCGTGGAAGCACGACCTACTCGCCGCTGGAAACCATGGCTTCGGACGGCGCGATGGGCCACCTCGGGCCGTGGGCGGAGACACTTTAGTGCGACGCCACGCGACGGTATGTGGTGGAGACGACCCCTGACTTCAGTTTGTCTTGTTGTGCAGGAGTCATGGATTGAAGGCGTTACCTACGCAAGGAAGACGTGCGGGCACGTTAATAAACATGGTGCGTCATCGAAGTCAACTCGTAAGGTTTCTTAGATGCTTGTTGCAGCTTGTTGATAGACCAATAGATTAAGGGGAATAGAATTCCTTCTTCAAGATCTGCTGCCTGGAAAACGAAGAAGACGATCGATTGCATGCGTTGGATTCGATTTTCAAGTTAGTAGAAAAATAATTGAGAAGGTTTTAGAGAGTTTCATACCATAAAGAACATCTATTTATAGCATGTGTTGATGTGGTAAGCATTCTCCATATCAGATTTCACTTCAAGGATATTATAAGTTTTGATTTGCGTTGATTTGGTGAGTATTACGGACTTGTTTTGTTCAATTAACATAACATACACATGTCGGTAGGAAAACTATGGTTAAGATTGGAGAAAGGAGTCTTCTTCCTTCGTCTTTACAGGTAAGATTCGTGAGAACTTTGGACGGTTGCTGACTCATGTTCAGCTTCGCGTTGAAGATCGCCTTACGATAGTTCAAGCATAGAAACAAAATATAAATCCTAAATATGACACATGATCACATAGATTTAGAAATTATCAACGGAATTATTGAGTTTGATTAGGAGAATTATTGATTTGTGATTATATTCGATGATGTGAAAAGTTCATCTTCGATATAATGAAAAAAAAGTGAGGATCATTTTTTGACTACTCACGTCTACGCTTATATACTCTCATATTACAAACTTAAGTGTCGGAACGATCAAGTCAGAAAATCTCTCACAACCTTAATTTTTTCTTTTAAGCATCATCTTTTCAAATTTCTTAAGTTTTTCTTCCTTCACAACAATAGTCGTACATTGTTTTCCTCTATATTCCTTGTCGAAAGAAGTCTTGTTTATTCTTAAGACGATTCTTGATATCTCTGGAAAAAAGAAGTGATATATAGGAAATTTAGAAAAATAGGATGCTTCGTAAGAAGAAAAATAGAGATTTTTCTATGGAATTTGCCCCAATACACAAGATGAAGTTTTACCAAATAATCTAGAAATAATATGGTGACAACAGATTACTGGTGTCCCAAAAAATAATTCGTTACTAATTATATCCAACTATAGTTTGGGTCAAAACATAAGGAACTTATAAGCAATGCTGTCATCATCTGATGCTATATTTTTTTCATTTGTTGATGAAACAAATTTCTCAGCTTTCTCGCTTATAAAGATAAATATAAGTGAAAAGAGAACAGGAAATATCTTAATGTGATAGAATTAAACCAGAAACTTCCACAATCTTTTGATACGATAAAACATGATAACGAAATATCTTAATCTCCTAATATAGTTGAATCTGGTCATAAAGCATCCTCAATCCTCTAATACAATAGAATTCTACTACGAAGCATCCCTCACTTTTGGTAAGTCAACAAAATTACATCTAACATTCATGATGTGCCTAGAATTATTTACCAAGAAGAACAATGTCTCCTAACACCCTTTGTGTGCCAAAAGGAAATAAGGTCAACGGTAAGAGAGATCTCACATGCATGTGTACATTAGAACATCATATCATTACTCGAATGCCACATCATTAAATATGTTGAGTGTCCCATATTATTGGTATGGTGCACAATAATATTAATTATAATTGCCGATAGTTCGATCGGCCTTTCACATTCGAATAATCTCTTACGATTTCACATAATTATTTTCATGAATTAATTATCATTTACTTTGACGATTGCTATAGTCTACTATGAAAGGACTAATGTATCTTTTCAAACCCTCCGAATTTTTTATCATTAACTTTTGAATACATCAAGATATGCTTTTGTACACACATCCTGAATTTTACATTAAGTCCCTCCCAAATCCATCATCTTTCGATATCAAAAAACCTAAGATTGGTTTTAATTTTTTGTCACTTGGGATAATACAAATGAGCGTACTATTCCTATCTTGACGAAAAACCCAGCGAGCACGCCAAGTTGGACGTGGGTTAGGCAGATGAAGTTGTACCTATATGACGCAAACAGCGGGGATAGACGATGACAAGCATCCACTTAGCGATGCTGGCGGCGACGCCGGGAGTTGGCTCCGGATGAAGCATCAGGAGCGCTCGTTCATAGTCCCCGTCGTCCTCGTTATCACCATCTCCTGTCAACGACTCCCACACAACTAGAATATTCGCAGCAGTCAATTCTTATCGCACCGTCTCAAAACAATTTCCTTTACCCTGTACCGTCTAAAAACATTGCGGAGATCTCCTCCGATGGCGTAGTGCTAATATTGCTTTCGTGATATCTGATCGAGCATTGTTCATAACGCTCTTCTCTTGGCTTGATTGTCAATTTGATTTTATGAAACAAAATGTAGCTTCCATTTTCACGGAATAGCTTGCTCCGTTCACTGTCTTCTTGTGCCCAACTAGGTAACATTATATTTAATTTCGATCAATATTTATCTTTATTTATATCAAAAACTGATTCATATTGATATGCATCTTTCTTGTACTTATCTAACATCTAATTTGTATACACACACGTCCAACTTTCAATTTCATTTATATACCAAACAAAAAAAAGAAAGGATAAAAGAAAGCTTCCATCCTCTGAAAACTTTTAGTGCCTTCTCCCAAGAAGAATACAGTTGTAACAAGTCGCACTGAAACGCATGCAAGACATCTAACAAAACAATTGAGCATTATAATGGTGGTGAGGATATGACATATAGACACCGACAAATCAATCATGCAACTCGGTATAATGTTGTAAAAGGAATGCAACTCGGTACAGAATAACACAGTTACTGAACTAGAAGATCAAAGACTAATGTTGGATTAGAGAAGCTAGCTTGTATCCGAGATGAATTTTTACATGAATGAAAGGTAAAGAAAAGAGGGCCTTAATTTGCTCCTACGGTTACGGTGAAAAAGTAGAGCTTCAAAACCACAGCAAGAGCCAAGTGCAACAGAAATATTCCGGCGACGATTAGAAACCATCTCTCTCCAGCAGATTTGATGTGCGTATGAAGATTCATGGCAACAAAAGCCGCAGACATGAATCCAGCACCACCTACAATCACCCATCTGAATATCTCCACAGGTACAATAGACAGGCACTGTAAAATTATGAGGATCAGTGTCTTGTATAAATTTGGAAATTCAATCTTTACTATTGGAAGGTACTAATGTAAAATAGAGTCCAAATATTGATATCAGTATCGACAAAAATATATGGTAAGTATGATACAATCAACCATGTTTCCATACATACAAACCCTTGCTTTCAAATCTTGACAACATGCTATGAGCTTGTTTTCAGCCATTGACAACATGTTGTGGGTTTACACAACTGACCAAGCTTTCCATAACATTTCACTGTGCATTTATATGGTTATCCCTTTTACTATATTTCCCATCTAATACAAGATCATCTGGGGAAAAATTATTAGACCAATTCAACCCAGCTTATGTATATTACACTAACAATGCCTGTCACCAGAAACTGACAATCAAGGATCAAAATAAAAGGAATTTCCTATTTTGATCAAATATTTGGTAACTTTACCTTCAAAATATTATCAAAAACCATATTTTAGACTTATTTTGTGCAATAATTCTTCTGTTTGACCATACAATGGTTAAATTCGAACACAAAACCTATAAAAAAATGTTAATCTTACAATAAAAGAAGGAAAAAGGTGGGCCCATCCTTCTTCTAAACCATAAAGTCATATGAGGTTAAATGAAATCTACGAATTACAGGCAGCATGTGCCATCCTCATTTATGAAAAATGAGCAGTGAAAACATTTAAAGAGGAAAAAATAGTGCCAACTTTTTAATCAAAATGAATCGCAATATATATTATTATATGAACCTAGTTATGGCATGATTTGCAAATTTTACCACTAGCTCAGTCAGCAAGTGTAAGACCGCTAACATCAACCATTATGGATAAGCACATGACTTTTTGAAGTTCAAAATACGGCACAATGGAATTAATCCACATGTCATAAACCATCAAGATGATGATAACTTCATGAACCAAGGGATTATTCCTTATAGCTTAGAGGAAACTATGACCAGCAATAAAGATGGCATCCATCTTTGCATGGCAGGAGGCAAGGTAACTTTTGGCAAAATAGAAGGTTTTTCTGAAACCAAAATGACCATTCAACATGCAACTGTTTTAAATGTATGCAAAGTGCTATTTTAAAAATTAAATTACATACTGTAATCTTAGTCAATTAATGCAAAGTAAGAACTCAGCAATCTACAGTGTTTCATTGTAATACTTGCAGCTACAAATAACCAAATCACTTTAATGAAAGATAACAACCAAGTAGGAGAATGTAAACAAAATATAAAATAAACACAACTAATATAGCTTACCGAGGCAGGAATGAATATAAACAGAGAGTATCCATACAGACACCAAAGTTGAACAAGGCCAGATGGTACTGAGAAGTACTTGAGAATAACGTATAAACCAAGAGGAACAAAGATAACATAACCATAAAATAAACCGGCAGACCAATTGACCAAATTAATGTCATAGTCCCACTCTTTCTTTTCCAATTTGTGTGCTACATAAGTAACGAAAGTGCCAATGGCAGCTGCTACAAAAATCAAAGTTGTGCATATCCAGAAAGGTCCATACCTGCCAGAGTTATGAAAAAAAATTATTTTATATA